TACAGTCATGTTTGTAAATGACATATGAGTGGGCACGTAAATGTGAGCTATTATACTGAGGGACCGTGAGTCTTGTCAATCAGGTTACAAGCTGAACTATTTCGACAGACACAAACATTAGTTAATTCATGGTGCTCTCAGAAGCATGCCAATCAATAAGTTACGCAGCAGACATAAACTGCATGTAAGTGGAAGACCAGTTTACATCTTACTCAAGATACAGTGAAGGAGACTGATCTGCTTTCATTTAAACTGACTTAATGCTTCCTTGATGCAGATGATTTTAACAGAGCTCTTTCTGACCAAGGAGCTTGAGACATGAAAGAAATTGTAACCAGTCTCTGAACTCTATTTACACTCTGGGAAATAAAGTTCATGCAATCAAATCTAGGAGCAACTGAAGAAAGTGGAATTCTGAATTGAAGACATCATGAAAACACCAGTGTCAAATTGAATTCAGTAAGTTTTACTACTGCACTTAATTTATTACATTTTATACACTCGTATGCAGCGTGGTACTGTGGTGAGCAAAACTGCATATATATCTTAAAAGGCTGTAATTTCACTCACACAACTGAAGTAGTATATTATGGTTGTATACATGTTAAACTTTTAGATTCTTTACAGAAATATAAATCACCAGTAGCAGGCAGTGAAATAAAGATAACTTCAAGCTAAATGTGGAAGTTTCAGTTTTATGATCCTAAAGAATCAGGGGTTAGTCATTACCTAGATTTTTCCAATGACTGCAAATCTTCACATTCCAGGTATTCCGGCAATCACCTTATTACATATTTCCCAATAAACTCTAAGTAACAGAGTATTTGCTACCTAATAAAGTATTACTTAGAACATTAAACAGTGGTTGCCAAAGAAGCAAATGTATTCTGTGAGAAGCTAGTTAATAACAAACCCATCAATGTTCGCTGTACCAACATAAGAGATATCCCTGACTTCTGGTAAATCAGAGATACTACATTGTATTATTCATCCACCCTACTACCAGTGGAGCTTTGTGTTTCAAGATACTGTGAGTCAGTCTGTATCTGCTGAGCAGACATACCTAAGTATAGCTGGGGAAAACATTACACCTTGAAGATGGTCTAAGTTAACACATTTCCATCTTACATGAGAGAAAAAAATAAAATTAAGTAATCTCTCAAGACTGAACTATTCACTGAACTGAATGAATTATGAGATTGGATGTCATATTAGGAGTGGGAGACTTTTAAGTCCATGACAGTGATGGCTATTGCTCATGCTTTATTGTCAAAAATAATTAAAAATAGAAGTTTGATTTCATTCAATTAAAACATTCCTATTCCTAAAATTCACACTACTTTAGTCATTAAATCTCATGTAAAATTTGTGTCAACATGCAGCCTTTCCCCACATACTGTGTTTTGATTTTCTAAGAAGTCAAAGTCAAGTGGTCTCCTGGCCTTTATTCTTACTTTCAATCACCCCTGAAGTCGAGCTGTACTTTATATTTAACGTTTCTAGGTCTGGGACAAAGAAATAATATGTATGTGGTAATGCTAAAAGAACCTTATTCACCATTCTATTAAATAGCTGTCTTTATTTTACACACTTCACAGCTTTTTTATGACTAGAAAGTCTGCGATATTTACCATTAATCTTTTTAATTTTTTTCCAATGACTTTCAAAGAGACAGCAATTTTTAATTTCTAAAACATTAGGTCTTTTTAAGATGTGTCTGTAACACGATTTGGTAGACATCTGCTAACATGCTTCATAAGCTATTCCTACAAAAATATTGATGTGGCTAAGTCACATCATCCATTAATTCATGTGCTACTCAGAGAACAGTATTTGCAATGCTTTGAAATCATTAAAATGTGTGATCTACACAGAAAGGTTGAGATAAAATATGAAACTGTGAAAACCTGCTTATCTAGGAATGCAGCAGTTTTAAAAATATTAAAATATGGCTGTACTTACTACAGCGTATTTTCATGACCAAAATTCATATTCAAAGTTATTTACTCATAAGTGCCTAATAGGTTAAACATAAATCAAAGTAGTAAGCCAAAACGGTTTCTCTTATAACTCCTTGAATAACTTGCTTGATGAAGTAATTAACACCTAATTTTTAATGTCACCAAACTATTCAGACGGAGGCCAGATTTACAATACAAGCATAAAAATACGTAGTAAGAAACAAAGACTTGGTCTCTGTCTCTATCTCATATAAAACTTCACAACCTATTACAAGTTGTCTTACTGTTTGTACATACATTTCATACAATGCAGCCAGCCAACACTAGACGGATTGTGCTAGAATTTTGGTTTTAAAAAGACCTCAATCAGTAATAAAATTATAGCCTGTGTTTCATTTTTCAGAGATGAGGTTTGAGGTAAAGACCGACATACTATTAGCATTAGTTCGCTTGTTCATAACAAGGAACAATAGCCTGCAATACCAAAAACTAAAATACGATTATCATATCACAAACCTTTCAGTACTTTCTTCACAAGTAGTGCCTTATACTGAATATAATCCATTACACTGCACATTTATATCCATTTTAACTCTTCCAGCAGAGTCAGTCTATCATAACACCTATTAGAAGCAAATAGCATATGATAGCAATAATAAGGAATATCAAAATACTGTTTCGAAAACAGAAGGACCTCAGACCCTATAGTAGCTACATCCCTATACTGTCATCTTCTGCTTTCTGTAGTATTTGTATTTTGTGCTTCTTGTCTAAACACGTCAGTGTCTATTTTCTTTGTAGGTGGTGGACATCATTATGAGCAGTGTCCCTCTGAGAGTCCTCAAAGAGTCCTCTGTATTGATTGTCTTCATAAATGGAACAAGCAACAACACTCAAATGGACAGCCCAAATTTTGAATAGATGTTACTAGCACAGCAGCAGTTGTTCAGACAAAAACATAAGAAATAATGTCACAATGTCACAGCAACACTTCAGCTTAACTTTCTGGGGTTAGGAAATACCTGGTTGGATGTATCAGTTGCTTTGTCACTTAATTTACACAGGGAAAAGGGAAACTTTCCACAGAGAAAAGGCTAGGATTTCAAGAAATTACTTTCCTTTTCTGAAAACCCCTGGGAATCAAAGGAAGTAAATTTCTCATTTGTCCTCAGAAGGTGTTAATTAGATATGACTTAACATTTTCAAAATCTTCTTAGCTCAGCTATACTTACACTGTTATTAATTGGGACTTAAGTGGATGGTGCCTACCTTCTCCATAAATTAGTTTCTCACTGGACTAAAATTTTGCATTAATCATGGTTCAAAAGTTTATTAGCATTTCCATTCCTAAAGCTTTTACAGAAAAACTGATCTATGGTAAAGTTCAATAGAACCATATGGCAATACATTCATTGATCCTATGTTCACTAGAAGTCGTGAATGCACTTAAATTAGGACTACAGTTCATAAATAAATTTCCTTATATAAAGATGTCTCATATACAAACACTTTTAATAAATGCTAATAGGTTTCTAAACAGTGCCTTATTTTACTTGGGTTGGTCTGTCAGTGTTGAAGAGGCATTTGGACAACACCCTTAACAACATGCTTTAACATTTGGTCAGCCCTGACGTGGTCAGACAGTTGCACTAGATGATCAATGCAGGTCCCTTCCAACTATTCTATTCCATTCCATATCCACAAATTTAACCAACCCAGTGAAAGACATTAATATATGCAGAAACATTTATTCATAACCCCTAGGTGTCAACTGTGAGTAAAGTTTGTATTTCCATACACAAAGGCTGAGAAATCAAGCTTTGTAAGACAGCCATGCTGTTGGCCATCCCTCCCTCTCCCTGCATTAATATCTATCTGTTCATTTCTTTGCAAAGTCTGTACTGGTTGTAATAGTAACTTGGTACTCCCACGCTGTTCCAATGTGCCCATTGGCCAATAATTCCTCATTCTTCATCCTGTGTCCTCACTCCCCCTGCTTAATGGACATCTTTGAATAAAAGAGTACAGGTAGTGGCTGGAAAAAGCACTTCACAAAGGACTACTTTGGCCTTACACAACACATGAAGATTTTCTCAGAATCATCTTATTTCATTAATTTTCCTAAATATTAATGATACTTTAACTTTTACTATTAATATTTGTTAAGTATGATGACATAATAGCTTAGTTTGATAGTGAACAAAAATGCTATCTGCAAACTCAGAACAAACTGAAAACATAAGTACAACCTCAGATGTCTATGGAGTCACTAGACCTTTCAGGAGTGAAAGGCACAGGTAACACACTGATTATCTACTCTGTGCAATAGTGACGTAATTGTATTTTCAATAAGGTCTGCAGATGGGTTCTCTATATGTAAGCTGAATTTGTATCTTTTTATAGAAGATTATAGAAGACTGAAAACAATCAGTAAAATAACGTTACAAAAAATGATTACTGAAAAATTCTGCAGTTTTACCTTCTCCATTATCATATCTACTTACACAAGTTAGTCCAGCTACAACAGTAACCATATGATAACAGAAGCATTTGTTTACCAACATGCTTTATATTAAGGAAAAATTCAATAACGCAATATAACTTTCTCATTTAGCTCACACTAGGACATATGTTCTTATTTAAATTAAGTAACCACACAACGCCACATCCAGCCTTCTGAAAAGAAAATCAAAGTCCTAAGTCCATATATGGATCTCTAGACATTTACAAAATACCCTTGCTAATGTATATGTAGCTTATTTTTCCTTTTGTTGTTTATATTAACACAATGAAACTATCTATTTTTTAGTAGGAAACCATTACTATAAATGTTGGCATTATATTTTGGGGGGATTAAATATGCAGCAAAGCTGCATCTTTGTCAATCTGTCTTTTCAGTTTATATGCCATGGTATTGCCTGCAGTTATAAACAATCATAGCAAAAAGATCTGAAAAGTTAAAAAACAAGTATCAAATACAACCAGCATATATTCAGACCACTTTCTTAAGCACATGCAGAATACTATTTAAATGCTTACCTTAACTATCCCACGGATATGCATTTTTGCTATCATCTCTGCAGTGTAAAGAAACATCAGTAGAGTATCGAGAGCAAATGTCACATACTGGAGAGGAGGATAATGCTCAAAGGTCTTTGGAGTGTTCATACAAACAGAAATAACACTGATGATGGCACAGATTCGTAGTAAAGAGTGAACCCACTGAAGAAGAACACAAGACATTGTGAGATTGCTTTGATGTTCAAAAAAAAGCTTAAATGTTAAGCCTCCATAACTTGTTCTGCTACTTTTTGTAAATGCACATTTGCATTTTTCTTTTACATCATGATCCACATATTAAAGATCTTCATCCAAAAATAAGCACTCCTGACTTTAATTTATGCATACACACACACACACACACACATATATATATGTACATATATACATACATAATTTTAGTAGTTAATTTGGGAGGTTGTATAACTCAGAAACCAAGAATTAAGAGCCAGGAAACTGAGAATTAGGATTCTATCATTTCTACTTTACGGCTTTTATTATCCAATTTCTTATCAAATGACAACTTGTCAGATTTATGCATAAGACAATAAGCGGAATTAGATAATGTTGTAAATTGGGTGAATACATTAAATGAAAGTATCTGTGGAAAATTTCAGTTCCACATTTAGATGAACTGATTTTTAATCAGAAAGCTACTTCTTAACATCAGGAGTCACTTTTTTCTCCAAACAAGTTTTGTTGCTGTAAGAGAATAGTTCATTTCTATGACTACGTAGCTCTCAGTTCCACTACAATCTTTATTAATAAGGCTGTAGGAGAATGTAAAGCAGAATATATCGATACAGGGGTTTAAGGTGGATTCTTTTTTCTTTTAAATCAAAACACCATTGAAACATCTTGAAGCCAAGCAAGTGTAATTAATCAGCTCGTAAGGTCATATCTATTAAGACAAGAAGAAGAAAAAAAAAAGACACTTTGGCAAGAAAAAAATCTCCAAACAAAAATTACTGAAGTGTATTTATAGCAACTTTTCATCTGACTTTACACCACCTCAAACCTTCATATCAGAAAGATTTGAGAACACTCACCTATTTTAATACTCACTGTACACTCACCTAAGTGTAGTATTTGACCTGAACTGAATAGCTCGTTTCCATACTCTGAGCCCAAATTAATAATTTGGAAGTGAAAGCACCTGATGAATGATCTCTTATGTCCTTTTAATACCCGTTTTGTTTCAAACCTTGTCTCAACTAAAAAATTAACAAACAGCATAGCAGATACAAAAACTGTTCTCTACCACAGTAAACCGCTGGTATTACACATGCTAACAAATAAAAAACTAGTCCATCAGCGAGACAAGAGAAGAATTACCCCATCAAAAAAATATGTACTGTATGCTGAGAAACACAGGTAAATAACCTAGGATATATCTTTGCCTTCGAACTTCTTACAGCAGTCAATACAAACATTCCACTTAAGATTATTTAGCACAAATATATGGGTGTCGTCTTGTAAATTATCTATGTGTTAAAACTCAGCAACAAAGCTAAGGGAATCTGGCATCCAAACTGCAAATGAGATGATAGTTCCATCAAATGAATGTAATGCCAACAACACGTATTGTTTCAGAATATCTGACTTTCTGCATTTACAAAGCAAAAATGTATATGTTACTTTAAGAGAAATGTGAAAATGCCTTCTCTGCAAAAGCATGAATAATTCAACATATAGGAATTCTAGATGCACACTGACTGCTGAATAAATATTTTAATCATAATAACCATATTCAGAAGGTAAAGGCATTTTCTTAATACTGCACATTCTATTAATAACTCCACTCTCAATGAAGCTTTCCCCAGTCTCAAGCTGCTAGACAGTTTTGCACCTATCTCTTTCTTAGGGCAGGTTGTAAGTTAAATGATACCAGAAAAAGTAACAAGTGATATAAAAGACGAGATTTGAAAGCCAGAAGTGCCGACTGCTGGCTACCACTTTAGCATGAAACGGTCCTTTTAACGTCCTTTTCAAAAGCTCCTTTTATGAACTTCACTTCTAATTTCAATAAACATGTTAGGAACAAGAGACATTGAAAGGATGGCTGTTTAAAAAAAAATCCAATCAGTAGATGAACTTGTTGGCAAACACTGCTTGATCATCCCCATCAGTCTGTAACAATCAAAAGAACCCTTTTTATTTAGTTTTGGACTTTTTGCAAACAATGAACTGGTAGATTAGCAATTACAGCGCAATATTGTTTCTGGCAAATATCTATTTCAGCATCTTCTGTCAAGCCCTGTTTCAACAAAACAAGTCACATTTAACTTAAAATTAGTAACTACAGAAAGAGATACCTACTGGTTTGTTTATCCACAGAATATCTGCGTTGTCTGACAAAGATTCATCGGGACCAAAATCTGTAACTGGTTGGGCTTCCACCCTTGAACTTTGCTTCCTTTTTAGCATCCTGAAGTTAACTTTTGTTATCTATAATCATGCAACGTCCTTGGGGAGAAAAAAAAGACAAGACATTAATCCACTAAAACAATTTTGTAATGCATTTTGACCAGTTTTATAAGTAACCTAAAGCATTTAGTTTTCACGCAAACTGCTATTAGGATCTTCATTTTATTAAAAAGCTTCACCTATAGAGATCACTGACATGACTGTCATTAGTATACAAAAATGTACACAAAGGTATGTAACGCAAACAATTACCAGAAACTTAGCAACGCTGGCAGAAAAATTGTGCCAACATGCAAAGAATGCTACTGCTGTAAACTTAAACCCAGAATAATCATTGGATAGATTTGACCTGAAGCCATTTAATCTATTGGAGACATTTCTATTTATTCCACTAGCTAAGATAAATCCCAACATGCTGCAGGCAAACAGGCAACGTTAAGCAGACGACACATGGTCACATTTTTACTGAAATCAGAAGAGCCTTTTTGCTCTATCCTACTATTAACATGTATTTTTCTAATACTTTTTTTTTCTAATGTTAGCTACTATCTATCCAACAGCCAGACAGTTTGCTGTCTCTGGGGCATATGTTGGCACATGGGTGCACTGAGGAAAATGTGTTGTTTCCACAAGATCAGGGCAAATCTCGGCATTAACTGACCGAACCTTCTGTATGCTCAGCCACTTGAGCCACAACAGCAGAAAGGTGGGTTAGACTTCCCCATTGATACAGTTCATAGACCCCAGAGTCTAAATAAATCCAAAGACATGAAGAAGATACAGTCTCCCAAGAAAAGTCTACTGATGAAATACAGTTCTGTCATTCATGAAATACAATCCCTTAGGGATTTTATTTTTTTTAATTTTTTCAGGAAAGTGAGAAGGGGGAAGGAGAAAGCAAGACCTTGGGACCTTGTTCTGGACCTTTACTCTGGACCAAGCTGGACACAAAAAAGGGTAGATTACAATCTTGAAAACTTTGTCAAAACTGGTATAAAGTAGAATCATAGAATGGTTTGTGTTGGAGGGAACCTTAAAGTTCATCTAGTTCCACCACCCCTGCCATGGGCAAGAATATCTTCCACTAGACCAGGTTGCTCCAAGCCCCATCCAGCCTGGCCCTGAACACTGCCAGGGATGGGGCAGCCACAGCTTCTCTGGGCAACCTGTGCCAGCGTCTCACCAATCTCGCAGTAAAGAATTTCTTCCTTACGTCCAACCTAAATCTTTCCTCTTTTCAGCTTAAAGTTGTCGACCCCTTGCCCAGTCACTACAGGCCTTGGTAGTTACAGGTCCAAGCATCAGAATGATTACTGCAACATGAATGCAACATGAATGCAAGAGATGATTAGCTGGAGGAAAACAGTGGGCTCAAGACTGCAGAAGTACCCATGTGCTTGGTCTCAGACGACTTTTCCAGCTACAAAGGCTGCTGCTTCACATTCAAACACTATGGACCTATGCCTTCCTGGCTGTCTTCTTTTAGCTGTTATGGCAAGCATCTTCTTCCAAGTCCCCCAGAATCTACTCCTACTCTGTCTTTCTTCCAGATTCAAGTGATCAGCTCCTGTCTCTGTAACTCCCTTGCTACGTATTTTCAGATGAGTGCTTTTGTAGTTTCTCTACCTTGTCTCTCCAGACATGATGAGCTCTGTATGTGAGCTCCTTGCCAAGCTTCTACAAAGGTTTCTCAGTATGTTCTTTCGTACCTGTCAGTAAACAAAAATTCCTGGTCATGATGACTGTGTTGTCAGTACAACCTTGTGTTTTCTTGTGTATACACACCTATCTCATATCTCCTGTGCAGTATTTAAAGCCCAAGTGCATCAACTTCTGACATCTTTATTTGTATGGTCAGTCACAGCAAATTTAGTGTAAGCAAAACTGGTAAGCAGTCACTAAAAATATGCAAATATTGTAAAATTAACATTTTAAAGTAAGTCTTTCTCTAACAAATGTGAAATAATATCCATACAAGCTGTATGCTCTCTTCCTCAAGGTTTATGCTCTGACTTCTTTCTCATGACTGATTCCACTACATCCTACTCTTTAGCAGTTTTTCCTGCTTTCTCCTATTTATTTCTAAGCCTAATGTATTGACTTGTTTTACCTACTTGGACCAAAGTATAAGTAGAAATGCTTGAAGCCTCAGCGATGTTAGTGTACTTTCTGAGGTCATGAAGCCTTAAAAAGGCTATATTTAGCAGAGGGATTAAGAAGTGTACTGCAATGTCTTGGGTGCTGCCATTCTCAAGACCTTAGGAAAAAAAAAGACGACGCTTTTTAAAATGTTTCTTGCAAGTATGTTCCTTTGGAAACTTGCTAAAAAGCTAATCAGTGAATTAACAAAATATTAATTTTATGTTTACCATTTCTGGTAATGGCTATGACAGTGCTCCTAGTAAACTCCTAAGAAAACACATGCCAATAAATAAAGAACCAGTAAGGACAACAAATAATTATGAGAAAAGGCTCAGGATATGAAACACTAACAAGCCACTGCTGATTTATTTTTCTTTTTAAATAAATGACACTAAATAACAAGCTATGTCCATTTGGGAAAGAAAATAGATAATTATCAACTGGCTGTTAGAGAGGCTCTGCTGGTTTTGTGCTTTTCTCAATATTGCTTATTTATACTTCTGATGCGTGGGAAGATTAGCCATATCCTTCTAATGAAATTCCCATTTACCCTATTACCCAGTGCCTCTTTATTTTTTTCTTTTAACTGATCTGGCACAGAAAATATCATGAATTTTAGATGTCCGTAATAGGTTTAGTTCAGATACTTAAATGCTGTGACTAAAGAGATCAGGGTCCTTGTTTTTAAGAGGTGGCCTTGAATAAACAAATCGGCCTGTATATAAACCCAATGGAAGGGAATAAACGTTTACGGAATATAAGAATCAGCTTGTTTACTGCTGATTTGCTGACAAAAGTACATAAGACAACAAACCTAGAACCTTCTGGAAATGGTCTTCAGCAAGATTATTCAAAATACAGCACGGTTGCTCTCAAGCTTTTGTGCAATTTTTTTGTTCATACTACTTTTATTTTTGCAGGGAACACACAGGCTTTAACACATGTCTGTTCCTGTAGAGTGACACAAAGCCCCAGACAGCCTCAGGACTGTAACCATGTGTGTAAAGAATTTTAATTCTTAGACCACAATCCCTTTTGCACCTGTTTCTGCAAGGGAGAACCAGCTGAAAGATGAAGAGGAGGAAGGGAGCTGTGCATGAACTGCTTCCAGCATGTGACACACAGTGAACACCACACCAAGCTGCGCTAACAGGGAGGCTGTAATCCTCCCTAACCCTGGCTACAAATGCACCCCTGCAGTTCCCGCATTGATTCTAACACACATCATTAGGTCTTTCTTTGATCACAACCCATTATTCACATGAAAAGCTTACTGCATTCTCTAGGATGTATTTCTAGCTCTAGAGATTTTAAAAAATATTGGGTGCAGGGCAGACAGGTTTTGAGACAGGAAAATATCGTGGAGTTTTGGAGCTCCGTCCACTTCACATTTCTTTGGAGAATTTTCTTTACAGTAGCAATGAAAATCCACAGTGCAGATGTCAACCTTCTCTGGGAGGAATGTAATCTTTGCTTTTAAATTTCTCCTCTATTTTTAGAAGCAAGGACAAATTAAAGGAAGAAAACTAAATAGAAAACTACTTATACAGTGAGTCCCTTCAGATCCATTTGGTCAGCCTTTTACCTCCCTCACTCTCCCCGAACTTGCCACAACCACTGCACCATCTAAACCAGCCACTAAATTTGCAGCTTCTTCTGAAATGAAAATATGCTAGCACAGTGGTTGGTGAACTTCAGACCCAGTATGCACTTGGGGGAAAAAAAAGTCTGAAGAAGGTTTAATCCCAGTTTGTGATACCCACACTAACCACAAGACACTCCTGCTAATGGAAGTTTTCACTTTCTACAAAAATCAGAAGACAAATTTTAAAACGTGTCTGATCCTATACAGCATCAAAATGTGAGAAATCTGTGTCATTTATAAAGCAAGCTCACTGTAAACAGCATAATCTGCTCATGACATTTCTATCACAAAGACAGGAAAACATGCCTGTAGGTGCTCTGATAGACAAAGAAGGCAGTTCAGAAAAGACTTCACCGAAAAATATATAGGAAAATAAAACACATATTCCTGCCTATGACTTATGTAAAGAGTTTTAAAATCAGACAAGTCCTTGGAATCTGCACTGTCTGGCTTCCAACATACTTGTTCTCACTGCCTATTGATTTTTTCACCTGAGATCATGAGAGCACTGCCTGAAGGTCCTCCTAGGACTGGCCACCTACAAGCGCTCTCTTTAAAACCAGTTCTCTCTTCTTTGAAAATGTCTGCTCCCCTTCTAACTTTTCCCAGAGCTGGGACGCGCAAAGTGGTGAGGGTACAGGTGAGCAGCATTTCAGTATTTGTTTTCATGTAGCAAAACATTTGAAATGAGTAAGTTTTATACCTGACAGTACACATATATATATATATATGTAAAATTTTGGAAGGGTAAAGACGGAATTCCAACTGACACAATCACATGACACATGCCACTATGGATGTTACTAACTCATAACTAGTTTCAAGGAAAAAAATATTTCAATACTTTTTCTCTCTGTGTGGAATTGTTATTGCATCTGGTAAAATGTTCTAAAAGATCTCTTCATGATTTTGAACACAATATACTGCTAATAGCTGACCATACTTTAGTATTTACTAAAACCAAACGGGATTCTTCATGAAGAAGGTATACTGAAGGAAATGTCCTAAAAATCAGTTACATTCACATTTTCAAATCATTTCAATATAGGTAGAAAAGAACAGCTGGTGACATCTTGTACTTACTAACAGGATCCTAGACCAAATGTACCAGACTGGGTTTCACGAATCAAGGAAGGTTTAACAATTGCTTAAGGCTGCCAAACTAAGAACACCTACTCTGAAAATAAGAGTCTGACTTCAGCTCTTTGATCCC